AAAAAAAAAAGTTAAAAAAAATCTTCAATTCCGGCAGAATTTGGCAGTGTGTGATGGGATCTGGGGGAGTAAGGAAAACCAGAAATTGGTGCAGTATGGAACACGGAGCTGAGAGCTCCTTGGTGGGCCAACAGGAGGGGCTTCCTAGTATCTCTAGGAACAAATCCCCTCCAGATCCTCCCAGGGTCATGGGGCAGTGGGAGCTCCTCATCCTTATACTACCAAATTGATGTTATTAACTCCTGCTTTCCAGCCAATCAACAATGCTGACTTCATAGTGCCTGTAGAGATTGAAGGGACCACTCACCAGGTGAGCTACCCACCAGGCACACCAAACCCCAGACTGGGGGGGGGATCTGCCTCCACTCCTCCGTGCTGGGGTCCCGCATCCTTCCCAAGGCTTTGGTTATGTCCATTGACCCCTTGTCTGTAACTTCAGCCTCTCCTATTTTATTGCTATCCTTGATACTCAACCATAAAATAAGACTTTCAGCTCCATACCTCCCTCTAGCTGTCATGTCACCTTGCTTCATCTCTGTAATCAGGGTGTATGAAACAAGTTTATATTATTTAACAATAGTCATTTGTTGACCATTGTTTATGTGCATGTTCATGCACACACGTGTACACACATACACTCATACACACAGATGGAACTCTTGTTTCATAATACAGTAACTTTTAACAGATTTATTACAGCCACCCCCCCCAATACTGGGCATTGAATTCAGGGCCTCCAATTTACTAGACAGGCATTCTACCATTTGAAGAGATCCAAGCTTATTTGTTGAAGTGAGGTATTTGTTGAGATGAGTTCTTGAGAACTCTGCTCAGACTTGCCTCAAACTCCAATCCTCATGAGTACCTAGGGTCACAGTAGCTCCTATGCCTTGACCCTATTCAATTTTCTTTATTCCTGAATGGTGTTCTGCCTGTTAACAGGCAGGGATACTGGCTGCTCCTGGAAGACTCTCCTCCTTGTCCCACCACCTTGTAAAGAATTAGTGAATTTCTTCCTCCCCCACCTAGGCATCTCCTGTGTGATTTCCCTCTCTTTGAGTCCCTGCACTGGATTCTGCTCTTAAGTGCTCAGCATGCATCTGTAAAGGGCATGGGATCTACACAGCCACATGTAACCTGCTTCAGTCTGGGGTTAGAGATCAGGAAGTTGGTAGTGAAAGACCGTTTACTTAGAACACTTGCCCAGGAAGCCTACCAGTTGGCAGGAGGTTCAGGTAGCTCTGAAGCAGATGCCCTGGTAACCTTGCTATTTGTCTGCCAAGCCTGATCAGGTAGCAGAGTTACTCAGGGGATTTGGGGTTTGATGTTTTAGTAGGTTGTCGCTGTATTTTCAGCTCTCTTAGAGGCATTCTGCACCTCCACCACCCCACCTAGGTGAGCATATAGAGATGCACAAAACCCATGGAAGAAAGGGGAAGAAAGAGGGTAAGACTGAGGAGGGCTAGTACCTAAGGTGGGATTTGAGGAAAAAGTGAGGGGAGGTGAAAGTAACTAAATAGCTGGGAAGAAGGGTGAAGGGTGAAAGTTGGGGAGATGTTGGGCTGACAGGAACTGAGTTGGGAGTATCTGGAGAGGGTTCCTGCTGCAGGGTTTGTGAGGGGTGTGGGGAGCTGGATGACTTAGGCCGGCTCTACTAGAACTTGATGGCAGGCACACACTCTGTGCTAGGACCTGGAGGAAATGGTCCTACAAGCACTTTGGTAGGCTGAAGGCAGGAAATAATTAAGAATGCAGATAGATGAGATGTGTAGCTAAAGAACCTTTACAGGCAAAATTCACCAGATCCTGGTGAACACCTGGTGGACACCAGGGTTAGCATAGTTGGCAGGGTGTGAGCACAGAAAGTGGACGTAAGGACACAGCGTGGAGAGGGTCCAGTCTAGTCATCGAGGGAAAAGGTCTCTTCTCCCCAATGCAGTTCCATGTGAGGCACAAAGTTTCAGGAAGTACTGGTATCCTTGCCTGATAGGGACCTGAACAGATTATCCTCCTGGAGTCCAGGACAAAAAGCTCTCACCCAGGCTGTGGCTGGATTCAAGTAATCCAGGATAGGCTGTTTCCATCTGTGAGGCCTATTCTTGATTACTTGTTTCCGGAGGCAGCTGATGGTCCACCGCTGGAATGAGAGATGGCTCCTGGGATGTGCACGCACTTTGCTTCCATAGCCGGATTAAGGTTGGGACCCTGAGCCAGCAGACTGCCACACTTGTGTGAACGGCACAGGTGGCAGCCCTTCCTGCTTCTGCCTCCCAGGGCTCCTCCAACAGGCTGTTCTGCTTCTCCCCAGGTGTATGTGCTCAAGAGGCCTTATGTGGATGAGTTCCTGAGACGAATGGGGGAACTCTTTGAATGTGTACTCTTCACTGCCAGCCTGGCCAAGGTACCTGTGGGGAGGAGGGGAGGGAAGGAGCCTGCAGGACAAGGGGTGACCAGCACTACATCCAAACCAAGGCATCTTCTCTCCTCCCAGTATGCTGACCCTGTGACAGACCTGCTGGACCGGTGCGGGGTGTTCCGGGCCCGCCTGTTCCGGGAGTCCTGTGTATTCCACCAGGGGTGCTATGTCAAGGACCTTAGCCGCCTGGGGAGGGACCTGAGGAAGACCCTCATCCTGGACAACTCACCTGCTTCTTACATCTTCCACCCAGAGAACGCAGTGAGTCAGCAGGATTGGCGCTCCTGGCAGGGACTGGGCGAGGGGATGGGCAGGGAACTGTGCCGACCTGGCAGCCTCCGGGGTCTCTGGGTGAGGAAGGGAAGAGGCAGCACTCAAGAGATTGAGGCCTCTTTTCTTTCTTTGTGAGAATCCTGGGGCTTAAACACAGGCACTGTCCCTTAGCTTTCTTGCTCAAGGCTAGTGCTCTGTCATTTGAGCCTCTGCTCTACTTCTTTTGGCTTTTTTGATGGTTCACTGGAGATTAAGAGTCTCAGTGGATTTTCCTACCTAGCCTTGAACCAGGATCCTCAGATCCCAGCCTTCCAGAATAGCTAGGGTTATAGGCATGAACTACTGGTGCCCAGCTTGAACCCTACCTTTTTCCCACCCCAGGTGCCTGTGCAGTCCTGGTTTGATGACATGGCAGATACCGAGTTGCTGAACCTGATCCCAATTTTTGAGGAGCTAAGTGGAGCCGATGATGTCTACACCAGCCTTGGGCAGCTGCGGGCCCCTTAGCCCTCCAGCTTCCAAGCAACGGCCACCCCAGTAGGGGACTTTGCTATACTGTGCCTTTCTGACCAGCCTGACGGACCAAGCAGAAGCTGGAGCACCTCACCAAATGGGTCCTGGAAATAGAAGTGATTAGAAAGAGCTTTAGAGCAGGTTAGATGTCAAATGGGCAAGTCAGCCCAACAGTATCCAGAGCTGCCTGCTCCCTGAGTTGGGCTCCTGAGATTTGTGTGTTTAGTGTATTTGGGTGGGTGTGTCTCGAGGAGTCTCCAGTGAGCATCACCCCAGGATAGCCAAGTGTTTCAGGGGGACAGGGGCTGAAAGATCAAGACTCTTCGCCAGTTAGCTTGTCTCCTCTCCCATCACCTGACAAGCCTCTGAAGACTATTGCAGGCTCCATTGCCAAACCATGGCCTTTCCTCAGTGTTGTAGGCCTGTGCCAAGGAAAAAGGAAGGGCCAAAGGCTGCCTTTGGATGCCTGGGGCACACACCTTTCTGAGAACTTTCTCCAGCCAGCTGCTGTAGACAAAAAGATGCCATTTCTGGAAGGATGAGAACTTGTTTCCAGAATCAGCACTCCCGTGGCCATCGGTCCCGAGGCCTTAGGGGCTGCACTTGCTTCCAGCTGAATGCCTGCCATGGGCCCTTTCTGGGTCTCCCCAAGGCTCAGGCTCTGGGCTTGCCTTCCTCACCAACTAGCCATAGTCTTCATCCTATGAGGAAGGAAGTCTTCTCCCTGCCCTGGCCTGGAAGAGGACAGATAACTGATTTCCGTTCCTTTAACTCTGTTTAAAATTCTCTTTCTAAACATGGAGTGGTGGGCCTGGTTTGTTTCTGGCAAAGCTGTACCCCTGGGAGTAAGAGGAATGGAAGGTGCTGGGGTTAGGGTTATAGAAAAGAGCATGAATGTTTGAGTCCTCTTGGCTACATTGTAGATCAGCTAAGTTTCTTCCCAGAAGTCTGCTCTTCAGGGATTCTCTGCTGGTGCTGGCCCAAGGACATCATTCTGAAGGTGGGGAAGGGCTCTCAGCTGCCCCAGCCCCTCCCATTGGGCAGGGCTCTTTCCTGTTGTGTCTTCCCTAGGGGTCTGTGCTGTGCCAAGCGCTGTTCCAGCCTTCATCCTTCCAGCTTATTGCTATTCCTCTCCAGGGCCTCTGAACGCCTGCTTTTCCACGATGGAGAAAGGATGGGTATTCTGTCTTTTGGTTGCCAACCCTCAACGCACATGCCTCTCCTGCCTCTGGTATCAAGAGTGAGTGAGCCTCTCATAGACCTGCACTCTGGGTGTCTCTTGCTTTCAAAGGTTCTTAATAGTAAATGCTTTAAAAAAAAAAAAAAGTCATAAGATGAAAGTTTCCCCAGGATGGAAAATGAAAGGGGAAGTGCTGCTGTAATTGGGAGCACAAGGGGCCCCTCAAAAGGGAGCCCTGCCTCAGCATCACTGCCTTAATCATGGCCTCCCCACACCCCCCCAGGGCTGGGTGGGGGTTCTCCCTTTTCCTCCCTCCTTCTGGATGGGAAGGGATTCTGTTCCCAAGTCTGTTTTCCTTGGAGACAGGTGTTACAAAGCATTTGTGAATCGCTTCAGGTGCAGGTCACCACCCACTCAGGACTCATCCCATTATCCTTTTTGGTTTCCACACACGGGGTCCAGCCTCAGGAACCACACAGTTTGGAGAAAGAAAAGCTGAGTTGTGGCACAGCAGCTCGACGGTAGCTGGCTGGCTAGCATCTTTTCTCTTGCCTCGCGGTGCCACCTTCCCACCTTGTCCCAACGTTGTGAGGCCTTGTCTTTCTCTTTGGCATCCCAGAAGTAGAACAGAGCCCCCCGAGTTCATATGGTCATTTCCCCCAGCATCACTGGGGTCCTACAGGTAAAGGGGACGATGGCTTCAGGTGCTTACCAAGGAGGCTGACCTCTTGAAAGAACCTGGGAACTCACACCCTTAAGGCCAGCTGTGGCCTTAGGTTCAGGTCCTGGCTGCCACCCTTTCAGGAAAAGCCTCTGTCCAAGCCCATCTCTGAGGGCTTGCACAAGTCTACCATTTGGTCCAGCCAAGCTTTTCTGACTAAGCAATAAGAGGCTCAAAGCTGATTGAGTTCCAAGGACCTTCTTGCCCTCCTTTGGCTCTCCATGTTTTTCCACATGGAGGTAGAGCCTGTGCCATGCCCTTCCTATCCAGCTTGTCTGAGCTCTTGGAGTGTGACACGCGACCAAAGCCAGGGTGGCTTGGTTGGAGTGTCTTCTGCTGCTTCTGCATGAAGCCCCTGCTTTTATAGACCCTGCTGCCATCAGCACCCTGATTGCCACCTGCAGGTCCCTATAGCAGTGCCATCCCTACCCACTCTTTTTCCTTTCCCAGAGAAGCAACATAGCCAAACCTAAACAGGGTCTATGTGTGTGGACCAGAGCCAGGCTGAAGGCATATTATTGCAGCCGGCTTCCTAGTTTTCAGGTGTTGGGGGCAAGAAGTGATTGTGGAACTTGCTCCTCCAAGGAATCAGGCAGACTCACTTTTGGAGGAGGGCAAGATTGTGAAGGGAGCCAGTTCATCGTGCAGTCTGCTCTAGGGCTTGCCACCAGCCCTTCCTGTTTGAAACTGGTCTTCAGGAGTCAGTAGGCCACCTGGCCTCAAGCACCAGCTTCAGCCCTGCCAGGAATCTGCCCACCTTCCAGGTTCAGTTCTTTTAAGGTGCCTCTTCAGGGACACAGTGTGTCTCTCTGATTGGGCTTCTCAGTCAAAAGCCTGATGTTCGTGTCCCTCTTATAGGGGGAGCTTTGGACACAGGACCAGTTTGGTAAAAGGGTCAAGTAAGGGTTTCCACTCTGCACATTGTAGAGGGGACACTCTGTAGGCCCATGGGTCCCTTATTGGAGGAGTTGAATGAATTTACCTTCAGTTAACCTGGGACCTTCTGTTTAGCTCCCTCCTGCCTCCCAAAGATTTTTTGTGTGTGTGTAAGTGGTATAAACTCACCTTGTTAACAGTGGCCCAGAAGCTTCTTTATATTAAAAGCACGAGCGTCTCAAGGCAGTTGTTGCTTGGGAAATGGATCCCGTGCAGTTGTGCCACCCCTACCCTGTTCCTGAGGCCAGTTGGTAGGCAGCCCATGTAGGGCCCCAACAGGCTGTGTATGTGTGTGAGAGAAAGGTAAGCTCCTTTTTCCCACCCAGGGCTTCAGTGGGTTACTTAACCTCTGTTGTCCTTTAGTCGCTTTTTTTTTTTTTTTCAATAGGGACTTGGTTATGTCTCTTTGTTTTGTTCTTTCTGTTAAGCACCCGTACTATCTGCATATTCAGCCAGGGCAGCGGAGGTCAGAGGTCTGTCCAGCTGCCCTCCTCCTCCAGCGTTTTGGGGTCTGTCCCTGGAGCATACCCACTCCTTTGGTCCCTGAGCTCCTTTGCTTGTAATCAACCCCAAGCTTGCTGCATTTCCCTTTCAAGATGCCATTTGGAGAGGGAGGATCTGCTTCCCACTGTGACTGGGCTATGGGATTCTGACTACCTTGCTTCATGATTTGATAAATTTGTTGTATTCAAAAACTTGAAATGTAGGACGCCATTAAGTGTCTGTTTATATTTTTGGAATATTTGTATTACTTACAATTAATTAATAAAAGCAGGTTTTAAAAACCTATCCAGGAGTGGGAGTGGCCTTCTTAACCTGCTGTTATTCCTTTGGGCGTTGTAGCAGGCATGTCTTTCTGGTGACCCTTCTGCATGTCATGATGAAGCTGAAACACACAAGGTGAATAGGTCAAGGAGGTAGAAGTTCAGGTCACAGAAGTTCACCTGCATTAGCTCTACCGTGGCCCCCTCCATTGCTGCCCAAGTGCTTAACAAGCAAATGTGTGGTGTCCTGTTGACTGCTGGGCATGAACCAGAGTCTTAAGGGAACTGGGTCTCAGTTCTCCTATGCGCCGTCTTCCCCAGTGCTTCCCAAACCAGGAGCCTTGTCATTCAGAACCCAGCATGGTTCCCGATGTTTAGTAAGTACTTCACTGCTGATTGGACTGAGCGGTGACTAGTGAGACCCCCAAGGATCCAAAAACCCTTCTAACCTCTTAGACTCTGCCCTCTGCGCAGGTGCCCAGAACCTTCTCAGGGAAGCTGTGCCACTCTAGATATCCAGCACACACAGCAGGCAGTTCTGCCTCCTGCATTCAGCGTAATGCATTCAGCTCTACAATATGGCAAATTTCATATCCTCCCTCCCTCTTCCTGCATTATTGATGGACTGCACTTTTTAAAAAATCAATAGATCAGGGTGTGGAGCTGGAGTTAAAAGAAGCCTTTAAAAGTCTGCTCTTCTTGTTTTTGCTGTTTTGAATAGGAACAGATAAAGCTTTCCCTCTAGTTTGAATAAGTCCAGCCCAGGGCTAGGTTGGCCATGATTGGCCAGATCTAGGAAAATGTGGTTAAGATGCAAACACAAGCAAATATAACCCAGTGTCTGCAGCCATTGCTAAGCTAAGCAGCCAGACCTGGAGCCTCTTGCTTTGAGATAGCAGTTCAGTATTGTGACTACTCACTCTCCAGAAAACTGAAGACAGGAGAAGGCAAGGTAAGGTGTGATTCATGGGTGCAGGTCAGTCAAACCTACTGAGTAAAGCAAAAAGGAAAGGAGGACAGAAAACTCTGCCTTTGTCTTCTGGGGTGAGGTTTTTTTTTTGTTTTTTGTTTTTGGGGTTTTTTTTTTTTTGGTGTCAGTCCTAGGGCTTGAACTCAGGGCCTTGGCACTGTACTTGAGCCGTGTGTGTGTGTGTGTGTGTGTGTGTGTGTGTCAAGGCTAACGTTCTACTACTTGAGCCACAGCTCCACTTCCAGCTTTTTTTTTTTGGTGTTTACTTGGTGGATAAGTTTCAGACTTTTTTGCCTGTGCTGACTTTGAATTGCAATCATCAGATATCAGCCCCCTGAGTAGCTAGGATTACAGGTGTGAGCCACCAGCACCTGGCTTAGGGTGAGGCTTTTAAAGGGTTGAAACCAGGAGTTTGGAGACAGTTGCACGAACTTCCTGTTGAAACATACAGGTGCATTTGGAAACCAGTGAACAGAAAAGGACTATTTCCAAACCAAGGGGTGGGAAAGAGTAAGATTCCCTTCCATCTCTTCCTTAGAGAATGATGATATGGCTGCTGGGTGTGGTGGTTCCCTCCCAGTTCCCAACCAGTTAAGAAGCCGAAGCAGAAGGGTCATAAAGTCAAAGCTAGCCTAAGCTACATCATCCTTAGAGAGAAAGAAGAAAGAAAAAAGATGCAAGAAGGTTAAAACCAGCTTGTTTGGTTTGGTGTTCATCCCTAGGGATATCTGTAAGATTAAGGACCACTGGCTTTTTAGCCTGCAATCAAAACCACCCAGTTCCAAGGGATCAAGGACACTGAATTAAAGATGTGGGGAGAGGAGAGATCCAGCTTCTGGGATCTTTGATGTTGCTGATAGAACTGGGGTTTCTATGTGCTACAATGTGGCAATAAGTTCCTTCTTGGAGCATCTGTCTGCCGGTGGGATCCCTGGCCCAGTAAGCTTCTTCCCACCTGTGAAGTTCCGGCGGCTTTGGGCACTCTTGAGACTCCGTTCTAATATCTAACTTTGGCTTTTACCAGGTCTATACTTACCTCCAAGGAATGAGTTTATTGCCCCTGGTCCCTTCCCCTACAGGAATCACCACTTTTACCTTTAATGATGGAGACCTAGGAACCAAAGAAAACCTGAACAAACATTTCCTGGCAATTCTGAGCCTCACAGGGTGGGGCAGCACTAGTTATTGAATTAAGTCCTCAAATATTGGCTTCTCCGCATCATTGCTCTGCTTTAGTCCTGTGCTAGTAGTACACAAAGGAACTGCTCTTCATTTTCATTTTGTTTTGTTTTGCCAATGTCTATCCTAGACAAAGACATATCATTCTGTAAATCTGGCTTTGTCCATCAAAACTCAAGAATATTCATGTTCCGTGTGTGTGTGTGTGTGTGTGTGTGGGTGTGGGTGTGGGTGTGGGTGTGGGTGGGTGTGTGGGTGGGTGGGTGTGTGTGGGTGTGTGTGGGTGTGTGTTCCAGTACTGGGGCTTAGCTTTCCAGTACTGTCTTTTAGCTTTCTCTCCTGAAAGCTGGAATGCTACTACTTGAGCCACAGCTCCACTTTGGCTTTTTGGTGATTAACTGAAGATAAAAAGTCTCATGGGGGGCTGGGAAGGTGGCTCAGTGGTAGAGCGCTTGCCTTGCATGCATGAGACCCTGGGTTCAATTCCTCAGCACTACATAAGCAAAAAGAAAAAAGCCAGAAGTGGCGCTGTGGCTCAAGTGGTAGAGCGTTAGGCCCCACGACCA